GATACCATGTAGAAATTGATGTTCTATTGACTTGAATGTTTTATCTTACAAAGCAATGTATTTATACAAGGTAATNAGACGGNTTACCGCTTAACCTAATTCACCCTCTTAACTTAAAGCCCATGCAATATAACTATACAACCTAAACATATATAGCCCAATACTTATCAACAAGGTGGATCTTCTTCGCTTGCAATGGAGAATAGAGAAGTGCACGGATCGGAGGGTGGGGTGCAAGATGACGGATATGAGGATTCGTTGGGAAGTTCTGACTATCGCTTCTTGATGAGCACGTCTCCATCTTCTTCTCTTGCACCGGTGGATAAAGAAAGAAACAAAATCGAGAGTGAAGTAAAATCACAGGGAGATATCAATCAAGGAGAATGAGGGTAAGACTTGTATCCTCCATAAAACCCGCAAAAACTTTCCAGTGGCTCAAATTTTCTACGTTATACAGAGAGATTTGTTTCTGTTAAAATTAGGGTTCTTTGACTCTTGAACGTCGTGATGTTTTTTACTTGAACCGAACCTGAACTGCATGTTGTTTTTAGCAAGCATATACACATAAAAATTTATATTCATTAACGAATAATAAACATATTTTATTATCAAAATGCATATTACTAAAAACATATTCACTAAAAACAATTGATGTTTTACAGACAAAACTAAATTTAATAATTGAAAAATCTGATGTATGCTTAACTTAAAACAATCGATATACTAATATTGGATGCCTCTTTCATTTTTCTATCCTTTTTTTTTTTTTTCTGAAAGCAAGTCACTTATTGGAAAACAACATAAATACAATATTTTCATAATTTAAATAATAGCTTTGGAATTTCACTTTAGAAACTTATAAAAAGAGACCTTTAAATAAGTAGTGGTGCAAAAGAAAAAAAAAGTTTTAGATATGCATTAGTGCTAATTGTTGAAGAAAACAAGAAATGGAGATTCACTAAAAAAAAAATCACTAAAGGGATTTTTTTCTTTAAGACATTAAAATGGATTAAAAAGAATTTTTTTTTTTAACATTTTGAAGCTTTGTTTTAAAAAATACCAATAAATATTACAAAAAATATCACTATATATTATATA